AAAGTGAGCTATGATCCAATTGGAACCGATACTCCATAGGGCAGTGGTGTGTCCACACAATCCAAATCTATTCTGCCATAAAAAAGGAATGACATTCTGGTCTATACTACATACACCATGGGTGAGCCTCGAGAACATTATGCTCCGTGAAATAAGCCAGACACAGAAGGACAGATACTGTAGGATTCCTCTTATGTGAGGACCTACAGGAGTCAAATTCACAGAAACAGAGAGCAGAAATGTGGGTGCCAGGGGCTGGGGAGGAGGGAGTTCATGTTTAACGGGAACAGAGCTTCAGTTTGGGAAGAGGAAAAGCTCTGGAGATGAATGGTGGTGATGGTTGCACAACATTGTGAATGTATTTAATGCCACTGAATTGTTCACTTAAAAACGGTCAATTTTATGTTGTATGTATTTTACCTCACGGACAAAAATGGACTGCATTTGCTTTTCAAGAACAAGCTACATTTCTTCCTGTTCTTGGTCTTTTCCCTCTCATTTGCCTGTAGAAATTGGCCCTTTGTAGAGAACCCTGTGGGTGTGAGGCCTGGCCCCAAGGGCACGGAGCTCCACAAAAGTCTGTTCAAGAAACACAATAAATCTGAATTGCTCTTGAAAGCTTCACAGTTTGTTTTCCCAGAACTGAGAGCCTAGGACACTCGGAACAAGATGCTCCAGGACAGGAGAGGCCCTGGAGGCCCATCAGCCCCCAGCTGTTGCAGGCAGTGCGGCTCCAGCAGTGACTGTGAGAAACACTACGCCCTAGAGCAGTGATGGCGAACCTATGACACGTGTATCCCCTCTGAACTCATTTTTTTGGTTGATTTTTCTTTGTTAAATGGCATTTAAATATATAAAATAAGTATCAAAAATATGTCTTTGTTTTACTATGGTTGCAAATATCAAAAAATTTCTATATGTGACACGGCACCAGAGTTAAGTTAGGGTTTTTCAAAATGCTGACACGCCGAGCTCAAAAGGTTCGCCATCACTGTACCTAGGGTGTCACTCCCCACGGGGGACACACTCGGCCACCGCCCACCACACAGAGGAGGCCGCTTGTGATGGCGCTTCCACAGTTCCCTCCCCCCAAACTCCACGGGACCCCTCCTGGTCTCTGTCGGAATCACCATGGGATTTGGAGAAGGCTCCCCTTGCACGTGACTCAGCCAAATATTTTCAGAGAAAGCAGCAGAATAAAGAATGCAGCAAGAGAAGTTAAGCAGGAGTGTTCACAGTGGGGAGAGGCATTGACTAAAAGCACGAATTTAGAGAATTTTGTGGCTCCCTCAAAATTACACAACTTCTTAGACTGCACCCTCCAGTCTCATCTCCAGCCTTCAAAGGAGGTTGGGGAGGATAAAAGGAAAAGGGACTACAGAGCGGAAAAGCTGTAGCAAAGAAGGAAGGTTTGAAATGCTGAGAGTCTGAGAGGGGAGGCTGGGGACTCACATGGTGCCTCCAGGGGGCCGGCTGACTCTGAGCCCAGGAGCCCTTTCAAACACCTGCAAATGGGTGTGGTGCCTGGAAGGCCTGGCCCCCAGCCGAGGGCCAGCCAGGTCCTCTCCAGGTACACAATCATTTCTTCAACACCCACAGCTGTGCCCGGCTCAGAAGGGCAGGAGGGGCTCTGAGTCTCGGGACCTCATCACCGGAAGACCTGACCCAAGGGTGGAAAGGAGGGCACGCCGATGGAAAGTGGAGCTGAAACGTCCATCAGAAAACCCGTCTCCAGCGATTGGAACGTAATGCTCTCCCGTTGACTGTGCTTTGAATGTGACAGCTGGTAAATGTGCTCGCGCTCCGAGGCCCTGCGGCAGGGGTTTGGTCGGGTACCCCGAGGCTGGCGATGCAGTGGGGAGAGAGCAGGAGAGTTGGGATGATCTCAGTGGAGTTGCCCAGTGACCTTTCACACACTTTACTGAGACAGGTTTTCTGTCCCTGCCGTGAGCCACGGGTGTCCTCTTAGGACTGGGAGGGGCAGGGAGCAAGGAGCTGTGGAGGGGCGCTTCCCAACTAAATGGGGACAAATTGGCACTTGCTCTGCAGAGACAGGCAGCTAGACTCAGGGCGGAGAAGTGCTCCAGGACCGGTGGTGGGTTCCCAGGCCCCTGGCCCAAGGAGGGGGGGGTCAGAGTCAACTGGCACTTGCACCTGGGAGTTTGGTGAACAGGGACGCTGACAAGTGATGGGAAGTAAGAGAAGGAATAGAACAGAGGTCCTCAAACTACGGCCCGCGGGCCACATGCAAATACAAATATTGTATTTGTTCCCGTTTTGTTTTTTTACTTCAAAATAAGATATGTGCAGTGTTGCATAGGAATTGTTCATAGTTTTTTTTTAAACTATAGTCCGGCCCTCCAACGGTCTGAGGGACAGTGAATTGGCCCCCTGTTTAAAAAGTTTGAGGACCCCTGGAATAGAAGCTGTAAGAATGGAATTCATGCCTCCAGGTCTATTACCCAAAAGTGACTGGTTGGAAAGCCATTGCTCTATTTAAAGATGATCTTTTCTAAAAAACAAACAAAGAAACAAACAAAAAACTGACTAAATGTCCCTAGGCTAGGGAGCATGCTTGAGGAAAGACTAGCTGGGGATATCACCCCCCAGCCCAAGGGCAGCCTGGATCACCCAGAGATGGTCTCCAGAATGAAGAAGGACTGGGCCAGGCTTAGGGAGCAGTGTTCTCAAACGTTGGGGTGCATCAAAAATCTCAGGGTGGGGGCAGCCTCAGCCCCACAGACCCTGATTCTAATCTGCATTTAGAAGAAGATTCCAGGTGATTCCGAAGCAGCGGTCTGGGACCACTGGTGGAGAGAGAAACTCTGCCCATGGTTCTCTGAATTGACCAATCTTGTTCAGATGCAGCGGCTTGCTGCTCAGCCGTGAGGAGGTGAGAAAGGAGGGTTAGATGCAGCCACGTGGCCCTGCCAGGACGTCTACCCCTCCAGGGTACCGACCGAGCCGTTCAGGAAGCACGAGGTCAGGGGCACGTGGCCCGAGCTGCCCACGGTTTCTGTGCAGTTGATGTCTGTCATCTATAACCCAGTGGGGCATGTGATCTGAATGGCTTCATCACAAGGTGATGTTAACTACAACTTGTCAAGATACATTGTGAAAATGTATCATCTCTGGGGAGTGGAGATGAAGTCAGCACTGCTGACTGTAACTCGGATGCAACTGGAAAAGGCATAGCCTGTGCTTGCTGAACCCACTATCAAGATACATTGTGAAAATGTATCATCTCCGGGGATTGGAGATGAAGTCAGCACTGCTGACTGTAACTTGGATGGAACTGGAAAAGGCATAGCCTGTGCTTGCTGAACCCACTTTATAAGCCCCCGACTCCCATGCACATTTCTCTGACTGTGTTTCTGTCTACTGTGTGTGTTTTTATAACAAAATATAGAAATCACTTAGGCTGACACTTGCCCCAACTGGGAGGGTGGCTGCTCATCAGATAAGCAAGAAACACTCTAACGTGTCACATTAACAATATTAAATACTTATACAACCGTGTTTGTTTATTGTATCATATAAAAGTTTTATTTTGCAAGGGATTGAAAATTAAAAACAAAAAAATCAAAAAATAAAAGCGGAACTTTACCACGGATAGTTCAAGAAACACTGCTGTAAATGCAGTTGCGCAGACAGGATGGGAAAAGGGCGTATGAGTGTGTGTGGGTGTGTGTGAGACAGAGAAGGGAGGGGGGAGAAAGAGAGGTCAAACGCAAGGGGAAAGGGATAAAACTGCTCCTTTTCAGCAATAAAAACACTATTGTGTTGGGTAAGTATATATTGCATAGTTTCCATGATAAACAAAAACATCTGTTTCCATTCGGGTCGAAATGAGAACAAACCTCTGCCCTTTCCGGGGCCAGACCTCCTGCCTGGCCAGGGAGCTCCGGGCCAGCACTAAGGGCGGCTCTCAACCCGGTCAACCCACCTGAGACCCACCGCCCTCACAGTGCCAAAGCCAACAGACCCCGAAGCCGCTGCCCCTCCCTCCTCGCCCTCGGCTGCATGCCGTGCGCATGGAAACCTTTGGCTCACAGCGAACCCTACCAGAGGGCTGTGGTTCACTGAGACGCCCAGCACCGCAGAGCCTCGCTTCCGCTCCCAGGCAAAGGCCATTCTCTTCTCTTTGGAATCAACCGTTAGTGTTCTTTTTTTCTGCCACAAAGTGACGGCCCGGAGTCCTGCTTCCTGCAGGGAGTACCGATGCAGAGAGAGGCCTTCATGCTTATGATGAGAGGGGCCCTTTACGAACTTCATTCAAGTGAGACAGTGCAGGGGGGTGATGAGTGGCCTGGCAGGTGACCGCGGACCTTCAGGCACCGCTCAAGAGCCACGGAACTTAGAGCTGCTGGGCCTGAGATTGTTCTCCGCCTCAGCTGTCACCACACAGGGCCAGCGGAGGTGCCGACCCAGGAAAATGTGTGCAAACAGCACAAGCAGGCTGTCCCCCTTTGCCTGGATCCTAAAGGGTGGGCAAGGCACAGACAAATAGTGTGGGGTTTGTCACTGCACAAGCAGCTCCCCAGGAGGACGGACTGCACTAAGGGGCATGGTGCTCCCCAAAACACAGCCCAGTGTCCACGGGGCCCTCACAACCAATACCAGCACAAGGTGTCCCTCACACACTCTCCAACACAAACCGCACTGCCTAACAAGGCAACTGTTGTTTTTACTGTGTTTAATTCCAAAGGAAAGGAGACTTTCATGGCTAGCTGGGCCAGTGGTCCCCCAGGACACATTGGAGAACCACCTTCCCCCATCCCACAGCACACACACCTCACCCGCTCTCACACACACCTCACACACTCACCTGTTCACTCTCACCTGCCCACACTCACCTGCTCACTTAGGCATGTGTGCTCGCATGTGTGCACACACACATGTACACACATATGTACACATGAGGCCAACAGTCCCACAGGACACATTGGAGAAATCACCTTCCCCCATCGCACAGCACACACACCTCACACACTCACCTGCTCACTCTCACCTGCTCACACTCACCTGCTCACTTAGGCATGTGTGCTCACATGTGTGCACACACACATGTACACACATATGTACACATGTGCACTTTTTTACCCAACAACCATTTGCAGCGAGAACAGCTGGAAACGTCTGTGCTGAGTATGAGCACTTTCTCGAGAGCAATTGCACGTTGGCATTTGTGCTGTTTCGGAGGGAGGGCCCTCCAACAGCTAAAAGCTCTGTGCCCACCTCCCTCATGTCACCTTCCAAGGAGTGACGGTCAGAGGCCAGGGTGGTCTCTTCAAACAAGGAATCAAGCCAGGACAAGACAGGACAGAAGGACACGCACACCACAACGGTGGACGCACGATGGAGACGGCGTTAGGTGACCTCGCTCTTTGGGAGACCACAATATCTCAGAGACCGTCATTTGCACAGTGACAATGTCTCCTCTTTAAAACCACTCAGAGGTCACCTCTCCTGAGCGAGCATTTGAGAGGCCGCTGTGGCTACTTCTCCGCCTCCCGCAGTTCCCTCAGCGCAGCTTGGAGGAGGCGCTGAAGCCTCCAGAACATGGTGGGGGCTGTTCTCTGGGGGCTGCCTGGGTCTGCACACTCCTGCACGGCCTCCCGCAACTGCCGCTGGAGCTGGAAGGAAATGGCAGAGCTCTGGAGAGTCGAGGAGAACCAGTGTCGGAATATTTTGTCACAGACGACCTGAGGGGAAGGACAGGGAGACATTCATTTGGGGAGCGCATCCCCTTGAGAGCCCGGAGCCCGCAAGTGGTCCTTCCATAGACCTCAGCTCTGCTCCCACACCCCCAAGGGCCTTTGGGAAGGGTCTTGCAGACTCCAGTAGGTACCTTCCCTTCTGGAAATTAAACACTCAGCCTCACGAATAAACTTTGCATCAGGGAGAAGGCTACCTCATATCAGATAGAAAATTCCACCTCTGGCCTCAGAGCAGAGTACATTTCCAAAGATGAAGGGAGCAGGAAGTCACAGGCAGTAACTGCTGCGTAAGAAGCAGCCCCAGGGAGGACCTGAGAATAGTCGCCCTCCCCTCTATCACCACATTGCTGAGGTTGGGCATTCTTAGCCATAAATTGGTACAGTAACAGTGATAACCAGGACAGGGTGTCCTGAGGGTCCAATGACATGTTGGTGAGAAGTAGTATGCACATGTGATAGCACCTTGAGGCTCAGGGGAGAAAGGTGGTAAGGGCCTTTTTAGGAGCCTTTAAGATGGTTTAGTTTAAGCCATTATCTTGCGGCCATTCATTCTAACCAGGTATGGAATTCACTGATGCTGGAGCTCTCTTTACATTCTCAGTTTACACCTCCTGTGTGTTGCACAGCTTTCTGTTTCCTCTCTACTGGGAGAACTGGACTAGGAGCAGCATAATTAACACAGCTTCCTTTTTCTATATCACGCTTTATATTAGCCTCATTTAACAAATGCCTCCATTTTATGGAGCTGCTGTCTCACAGAAACAAATAACAACTTCTGTCTCCCAGTGCCTGCAAGGGCAAGGATTCTTTTTAAAAACATTCTCTTGTTTCTTTTTTTGAATTGATAATACATTTTCATGTGCAAAAATGTACAATGTCCCAAAAGACAGACTGCACTCTTAGTCTCCATCCCGGTCCCAACAGCCAGACACTGAGCTCTGGCTCTGAGAGACGACCCCCTCCTTGACTCTCCTTCTCGAGAGAGTCTATGCACACACACAAGCCTGTGCGTGCAAGTCTTTCTCCTTTAGTTTCCATAAATGGCGGTATATAATGCTTGCTGTCTTATGGCTTCCATTCCCACTTAGCCAAATATCAGGGAGAGCCTTCCAAGTCTGTTCATATAAGGATACTAGAGGCCCGATGCACGAAATTCGTGCAAAAGTAGGCCTTCGCAACCTCGGCCGCCTCAGCTGCTGCCTTGCAGCCCCACCCACTGGTCATTCCAGAAGGTCGTCTGGAAGGCCATTTTGGAAGGTCGTTCCGCCATCCGGTCTAATTAGCAATTAGCTCTTTATTATATAGGATACCATTAGTTTCAATGGCTGTCCCTTAAACTTGTGGATGTATCATAAATTACTTAATTAGTTCCCCATGATGGAAATGTAGGTTGTTTACTAACTTTTGCTATTATGAACAATACTGAAATAAATACCTTGCATATATGTCACTTTTGTGAGTGATTAAATTTCTAGAAATGAGATTTCTGGGCCAAGGGGTATGTGCATTTTTTCTTTTGATACATCTTGCCAAACTGACCCCCATAAAAGTTGTACTAAGTTACACACTCACAGCAGTGTGCAATGAGAATGCTCCTCTGCCCCATGCCCTCGCCAGCACGTGTGTTATCTTTCATTTTTGCCAGCTCATGGGTGAGAAGGTTTCATTTGCATTTCTTATCTGTCAGGTTGAAAGCTATTTCTGCTTCCCTTCCAGTGAATGGTCAATTGATATCCTTTGCCCACATTTCCACCAGGTGTTGAACTTTTTCATATTAATTTGTAGATGTTCTTTATATTATAAGGACCTTTGCCCCTTGCTTAGGTTGGTTTCCTATGGAGCGGACTCTAAGAGGGAGGTTTGCACGCGGAGATTTATTGAGGGGCATCCTTGGGGACCACACTTCCACACTGTGCTTTGCAAATGCCCCACCACCACTGACCAATCACAGGACACTTCCCCAGGGATGTGCCAAAGAAGCTCTGCTGGGCAGGGACAATCCTGGGGATACTCTCGGAGCTTCAGAGGCTAAGGGATAAGGATCACCACTTGCCTCGATAGATCTCTAAGGGCCCTTTATATATGAGGTGGGACAAAAGAAGGTTTACAGTTGTGAGTACACAAAACACAGGATTTATTCTTGCATTATTATTTATTAGGAATTGTATATTTTCGGTAGGAACAACCATAAACCTGCTTTTGCCCCGCCCTGTATTAGTCTCTCATTATGGGCAAAGGGCAGGTGGTTGCTGTTGTAGTGCCAATCATTTGTTCCCGCCACTGAAGCAGAGGCTTTCCCTGCAGACCCGCCTAGGGTGTGCGTGCACATGAAGCTAGAGGCTGGGACAGAGAAGAGGCCTCTGGAGGCCACATCCCTACTGCATGCTTCCCACCCAGAGCTTTTGTCTGGCCTGGTCCAGGAATTCCAGATTCACAACCACTGCCAGGTCTCCCAGAACAGTCCTCCTTTGTTGCCTGACGCAGCACCAACCTCTGGCCTGCTCTGGCCCAAGCCCACATCGCCAGGTCTGCATCCTGCATTCTGGCACACTGGTCTTTTGGGTTGGAGGATGGTAGGGAAGAACAGCTACAGAAAAGTGAGTGGGGTAGTGGGTTGGATAAGTGAATAAGAAAGCAGGAAAGTGGAGGTGAGGCAAGGGCACAGACATGATTGAACACAGGCAACCAGGTGGTGGGCCCAGCTTCTCAGCCAGGGGCTCTTCCTGGTTGAAATCAACACCTATGAGCTCAGGCTCAGCCACGCCCACCTGAGAGCCTCAGGGGAGGGCTGAGGGCAGATAACTTCTGCCCAAAGAAGAGAGAGTGTTCCCACTGATGGGGTCTGGAGCCCTGCTTTTGGGACCTCCCGGACTCTAGACCCTATCTGAGAGCCTGGACCCAGCATCCTTCCTATTTATTTATCACTGATTCCTGGACTTGGGACACATTCTCTCTCCTTCTATTACCCACCTGCTGGCCCTAACACATGCCTATCAGGATTGTGGTGTCTGTCCAACCTCTCTAATTTGGACAGTTTCTCAGAATGGCTTTGCATTCTTTTTATTCTTAGTACTCATTCTGAATGTGGA